TTTTTTTGATGCCTATTTAGTTTTTTCTGATGCCTATTTAGCTTTTTTAAAGGCCTCTCCCGGCCTCTCCCCTAACAATTGCCGTGCACATGCCCTTTCGGACTCGCATTTAAGTTAGCATGCAGATCTAAGCCGGCATGCATCACGCGTGAGCGTCCTCAACATGCCACCGATCAGCATGCGGCCGGGTGTCCGGCATACTCTTCCACTGCTGTCCCTTCCCAGCCTGTGGCTGCTGCGAAATTGACCATGGAAGCACACAGGCCTTGAAGAGGCCTCTCCCCGGACTGCCCGGCCTCCCGATACTGGCCTTAGGGACTTGCAAGTTGCAAGCTGCTCTGTTCAGCTTACTGCCCACTACACGAGCCGCAGGTATGATCCCCAACAAGCACCCACGTCAGCTTGAGATCGCGACTTGCCCACCTCCGGTACAAGTACAAACGCAGATTCCCGTCCATGGCAAGGAACTCTGTCTCGTCGCGACATCCACAAGCTGCATCAGGCAGCGACCACGTGCACCGTGACTTTGTAGGCGCGGAGGCTGAATCGGAAGAGCCTTCTGTTGGTCACGGGACGGGGTGCAGGTCAGCTACTAACATGAGCTCACGCACTTCCACGCCGCAATTCCCTACCTGTCCTCGATCGTGAAGGTGGAGATGCCTGGAGCCCGCCCACCTTACCTGAAGCCTTCAACCCTTAGCTTAGCACTCATCAAGCCGGGTTCTGAGATACCAGCTGTCATGCATCTGATGGCACTGAGCACCAGGGCAGGAAAAACTGCAAGCGCCTCAACAGCAGTTCTGCGTCATCAAAACACCAATCTAATTCGAGTCATTTTTGGTCCGTTTGCGGTCATTAACTCGTAGCCTGGGGTGCTGCGGAAACTCAGGCCACTCGGCTTCCAGCCAGCAGAGGCAGTTCTGTGGGCTGCCGTGCAGAAATTGCCAAGCAGCCGTGCTCACGAAATGAATTCGCGAGCCGAAACATTAGCAGACTTTGCTCACAATCATGCTGGTCTGGCAGTGCTCAACCCGTGAGAGTTGCTGCCTCAGCGCCTTTGCGATCCGCTACCGTAGCCGCTACCCGGGTGAGAATCCGATCTCCAACTCCAGCTCACCCGTCTCAATGTCCTCAGGCAAAAAAGAAAACTAACTACTGCGGCTTGCTAGCTGCAACTTTTCCTATTGGTTGATCTGCAGTGATGGCGGAAGCGGGTAACTGATTGAGGGCAAGCACATGCTGCAGCTAGACGAGCGGTGAAAGGTTTCGAAAGGGATGCTCGCAGCTGCAAATCACCCACCGTTCCCAACGACATCTGTGTCCTGCAGCTGGTCCCGGATTCTGACCGGCTGGTTTGCACGGCCGTGGATTATGCGATACAGGGGGATCTTCATCCGGCCCAGGAAGTCATCAGAGCCCATCATGTCCTCGTCGTAGACCTCTAAGAGCAGCTGGTCTTCTGGATGCCTTGGCTACCGAGGTGCATCTTTCAGGAAGGCAGGGTGCAAACAGACTCAAGAGCAAGCTAAGAGATAAAAGCCTGTGCAATCAGTTGCCACCCTGATGCTGGATGGGGAAAAGGAAGGGTGATGAATTCCATTTGGGGTTCAGATCATTGTTGATGGTATGTGTTCGCTTTCGTTGCTTCTCGTTCTGGCTCTCCAGTCTAACGGTCACGTACGGGTCCGAGACGTCGCCCAGGATGCCGGTGTCTGCATTCACCAAGTTGTACGCGGCTATGATGCGGACGGAAAGAATGCCAAGGCCCCCCATGTCTGAGTATTGGCGTTTTGACTGGCCGGGCGAGCTCTGTGGACTTGCCGATAGCTGAGATTGAAACCGATCTCGATCTCTTGGAGGGCTCAGGGTTTGACTGGCTGGTGATGCATCAGTGTCATAGGCCTCGTAGGTGCACTCGAAATCGATTTGAGCCTGCGCTTGCGAGTCTTCCAAGCTCTCGCGAAGTTGCAGCCTTACCAAGCCAAGTTCGGAAGAGAAACAGAGGGGAGAGGACAGGGCACCTACTCTAGGACTCTAGGATAGTGGTTGCATCATGGGCATCAACTTTACCAACAGTCTGAGACAAAATCGTCAATGCACTGCGGCTGCTGCCTGCACTGAGGCCCCAGCGGCCGACTGGGATTCTTTGATCTATGCACTGCTGCGATAATGCGCTGAATGGGTAGCTGCGCACGGCCCAGGAAGTAGTGGTGTATGTGCTCGTCCACTCTGGGATTGGCGAGGTCAAGCACTTCCAGCTGCAACACATCTGCGACCGAATGCACCTCCAACACCATTGCCGGGGTATTCCACTGCGGATTGCGGTTCCTGGCAATTGTCGGTGTCATCTTCTCCCTCGCATGGCTGGCTCGCCCACGCTGACCCTGCATGGAAACCTTGACACATGGGCTAGGAGTCCCGTACAAGCCGCTTCCGTGGCTGTATGCCAGGTTAGAAGCTGCATTGATCCAAAGAGTGAGGATCCCCACTCCGCGTCCGGTGACCCCTGCTAGCTCAGGGGCCCCCTCGGCAAAGGATGGTAGGCGAGCCAATCGGGCCTGCTCCAAAGGTCGACGCAGCCGATGCTGCTCCTCCTCAATGGGCCCTCGCCCGGGTAGCCAACCATAGAAAGCGTCATCTTTCCAGCGCTGTTCCGGAGCATCGTTCGTTGTTCGGCCTGCAGCTAATTGCGGCTGCGGCCTGGCAACGTGGTCACTGTACTCGCGGTGGTCGTTGAATCGGCGGGCCGGCACCTCCGAGAAGGAGGGCAGCGACATCAGGTTGCGTGCCGCACGGGCCTCCTGCAGCTGCTCGATGTTGCCCTCTTGGGGCCCTTGCCGCCCGGGCCCCTGATGGCTCCGCCAGGCGTGGAAGGGATCGCCCTTCCAGGCCTCACCGACCTCCTCGAGCTCCAAATTAGGGCCAGGGCCAGGGCCCTCCAACTGGCCCATCTTGTGCTCAGCGCGGTTCAGCTCTCTACGCCAGCCGAAGAAGGGATCATCCTTCCACTGGCGCTTGTCAATCATCTGTTGTCGTGGGAAGTAAGGTGGTGGCCCTGAGTAGTCCTCGGCTGTCCCAAGTCCCCTTCTCAATTTACAATGGGACCTTGCAGTCTCCTCGACAGATGGGCCGAGCATCATATTGGCCCAAACGACAGGCCTCATCTTTGACAGAAACAAAGAACTTCAAGCAGAGTTGAAATCACCTCAGACCCCGGAATTCTGTGCATGCCAAGCGACCAAAGACTCATACTCGTTGAGCCTGCGCGCCTGCACTCAAACTCCGCGTGAACTAGAGCCGTCATCAAAGTGTCACTGCCTGCGGCCTGCTGCACGCCCGATTCTTCGACACGTATATACAACCTACTTATGCTAGCAAGAGAAACGTTGACCCGAGCTGCACCAGCCTCGCCAATCTCTGCCACTTTGTACTGGTGATCAGGTCGCGCCAGAGCTTCCGGCCCAAAGCCTCGCGCGAATCATTCCAGGCTCGTCGCCTCTCCGCTCTACTCCACTTGTCTGCAGCAACGTCTGCAGAGCTAATATGAGCTATTCAGCTATTCCGGTATAGTGCCGCAGACAAGCCCACCGGCCGCGCGCCAATTTCGATGAACTGTGATGAGCTGTCTATTGCATGATGCATCTTGGCCGGGTTGGTGGGTGCTCTCTGGCCTTTGAAGGAAGGCAGTGGCACCTCAGAGTAACATCGCCGCGCCGGGAAAGATGCCATGCAGAAACACTTCCTTGACCAAGGGACCATGTTTTCCTTCTTCTTGCGGCTTTCTTGTAAGGCCAAGTTGTGCTGGAATTGCTTCTGCCTGCAGCACAAGACAGCGAAGACTGCCGTAAAGGAAGCCACCACTTCCTTTTGAGGAACGAGATTTGCCTTGAGGACGGATTTGCCAACCTTAGAATCTGAACAGAGCTCGGAGGACTTGGATTGGCTGTTACACCAAGCAGCTGATCGGGACATAACAGTTGCACTTCAACTTGAATACGGGGACGCTTGCGATCCTGTCTTGCATGACCAAGGCTTGCTTGCACGGGAGGTGTAGCAGTCCTAAACTTTTTCCAATGAAGATCTGCAGAGTGCAGGGCCCCATCTGTCGAGGGAAAGCATTACAGGGTCCTCTCGCACGACATCGCCTTCGTCCAGCATCTCCTCTACCTCAGATACACGTAGCCGCTTAAGTTTGGAAACATTAACGCGTGGCGGAGGACGTGTACGATCGACTTGCCAGAATGACTGGCCGGAACGCATTTCCGAGTGGCTGTGTGTGTTTCACCAGGGGTCAAGCTCCGTATAGGGATGTCAAGACGCCCCAGGCTATCATTTGCGTGCCAATGATTGGAGCTGAAGACCTCTCCAGGAAGCACAGAGCCGCTCCCGAGAGGCCCTAGAAACCGGCGCCTCCAGCTGGAGCTTCGGCTCTTCTTCGTCTTGCAAAGTAAACTCGAACTGTTGTGAATTCCATACGGGATTGAGACCTCAAGCTTGCGGCACGCACAGGTAACCCATCGAGAGAGACGGCTACTGGCTACTGAAATCAACGGTGCTCAGGCTAATGATGGAGTTAAGAACCATAACTAGGACTGCGAAGAAGCTAACGGCACCGGCCAGCGCAGAAATGAGCTGAAGGATTGCTGAATCTGCGGCCCACTGGCTGTTCTCAACGACGTGGGTCTTGAAGTCCTTTGGCCCAATCCTCGCCACCGCAAAGGGATCCGAGGCGTCTTCGGGCAAGATTCCCAAGTCGGTATTCCGGAGGTTGTAAGCACGCAGGATTCTCAAAAGGACCTTGCTTCCCTCCAGACTGCCAGTCAGGGCGGCGCCAGCTCGCGTGGCTGCCGGCACATAGGTTGGAAGGCTCGAATCGTCCTGTTCCTCACTGGGGCGCACGCGCTCCCTCCTCTTCTCCTGAGGGAGCTGAAGTAATTCCCTTTGGCGCAACGGCGACGCAGCTTGCGCCTCCCGAGTTCTGCTAAGGTCTTCATCCTGGCTTGGGCCAGGACCACCAGGATCCTTCTTCTTCTTCTTTTTCTTCTTCGCCTCCCGGTCCCGGTCGTCGCCCAGCGAAAGATCGCCATAGCCAAGACTTTGTGGCGTGCCTCCAAGGTAGCCCTGCTGCGAGGCTGGGGTAGGCATCAGATCAGCCATGGCATTTGGGCTCAGGGTGCCTTGTGGCGGCAAGTTTCGAGATCCGAAGTTCTGAGTCCCATGAGGTGGGAGGATCGGAGATTCTTCTGTTGATTTGATCGCTGCAGTCGGCGGGAGAAAGCCATGGAGTGAATCTGTGACCAATTCCAGCCCAGAGGGTAGGTCTCCGAAACTCCCGCCTGGGGGTAGCATGCTTCCAGAGTTTGCAGGGCGTGGAGCTCCGCATGCAGCACATTCTACAGCGCCTCCCTCGTTGATAAGTGTGCACTGCTCGCACTGCCATTGTCCGTCATGCAGGGGTGAAGCCCCCAGCGGCATGTCCGGCGCGCCATGACCCAGATCAGATCTGAACATCCATGTACAGGAGCTACTGAAATACTGAGTAAAGCCGCTGCCCTCGCACTGCCTCTCGAGCAAACATGGAACCGAGGACAGAATAAGCAACGACTGCATGCTGCGCAACACGAGCTATCGAGTCAAAGACCTTGCTCAACCCTTCCCCATTCAAACCGTGTTCGGCACCGAGCGATGGGAAAAAGTATGCTTCGATCCGCGGCCACAGCCCCTTTCCGGAGGCCTTGTCACTGCAGCTGTGGAGCAAAGCTAACATACGGTGGCTTGTCATGGAGTCAGAGCCCGAAGCAGCGAACACACCCAAAAACCGGACATCCTGCGCGGTCTGGTTTGCTTTGAGCCCGCCAATCTTGTAACTGAGCGGTACTGCGGAGTGTTGTACTAATCAGCTTAACAAGGCTATTGTCGTGCGAACCAAGCCGGAGTCGTACGTTCTACAAATCCCTGCCCAAGACCTTCAACCTGTGGTGCCCAATCAATGCGGAAGCGGCTGAGTCCCGGCCTTGTGCGTAGTCTTGAAGCAAAGTGTCGAGTCAGGGGAGCCAGCATGGAGGCTTGCACCTCCATCGGACACGAGTGGGAGCCAAAATATCCCAAATTTTGGACACTTGGGCAGCGCTGTGAACCATTCTGCAGCGGCACATGTCGAAGCTGAAGCTGCGCCGAGAGGGTCCAATTCTGGGTCTGTGATGGAAGGCCTATCTGCGAGCTACAACTGCCCCCTTTTACGCCCGTGTAAGCGACTGCCGTCTGCTGTGGCTTTGCCACAGGATCATGTGCATCGCAAGCTCTGTTTCGAGGGCCCGTGGAGCTACCACTCGAAGAGATCTTCCTTCAGCCCCGTGGTGGCCTGAAACTCCATCTTCGAGTCCGGGATGGCTCCAGCCATTCCCTTGAAGTCGGCAGCCCGCGGCCGTGGACACTCGCGCGGCAAGGCTTGGTGCAACCATTCTGCAAAAGCATGCCCGTGGATGAGAATTTGCTCGCCTTGCTCCTGCGGAAAAGTGTCAGACATGTCAGAAGTAGCGGTCAAGAAGCGACATCTGTTGTGACAGCTATGCTATGACGAAACCCGAATGCATGCTCCTTTGCCATCACTTTCAGCTTCCCGAGCAGGTCTTCTTGGAGCTTGTTGCCAGAATGTTCTTGAACAACACGGGCTATCGCATCGACGTGATCAGCTGCAGACATAAGTGCCTGCTCCAACTTGTCCTTGTACACTTCGCAGGAGTTGGGGCAGCAGAGATCGTAGAAGCTGGTGGTGCCATCGCAGTTGGAGGGGCCTAGCATGTAATTCGGCATGAAGACGAACGTCTCCCTCCCGGTCTCTTCCAGCGCCCCGAGCTGGCGCAGGTAACCCAGCGATTCGCGGAAGAGATCTCCTGCTCGACACACTGGTCGGAGCCATGATAAACGCACACAGTTCAACTGCTGCAACAGAAAGACAGCTTTCTCAAAACATCTGAAAAGCCACTAGCTGCAGTAGCTACACATCGTTGCTTTTCAAGCTGCCATGATCTCTACTAGGAGCAGCAGTTGCCGTTGTCTTTCAGCGTGCCCATCGCATGCGATCACGGAATCATTTGCAAATTTGCATCCCATCCACCACTTGCTGTGATACTGCAATGATTCTGCATAGTATGCGTGAGTGCAGAAGCTGCAGCTGCATCAAACTGCATGAAACAGGTTGCTGGCGAAACCGGAAACAGCTGTGGCTCTCAACAACACTCCGGGAAGACGTGACAAACAACTAAGCAGTACAGTCATCTTAACAGGCTCAGAAAAATCTCGGAGAGTCTGGTGCACTTGGATGTGCAGTCTCCTCCATCGGCAGTCCTGAGCTCAGAGAGTAGGACACGCCCGTGGTCACCTCCTCGCAAAGTCTGGAAAGTCCTTTCCATATCCTGAGCCGAAGAATGTAAACCAAGATCAGATGTGACCGGCAGTATCAGTGCTTTTTGCAGTCAGGAATCGTGGCACATGGAACCGGACACCTGTACGTTGAAAACGAGTGCCGAAGAAGGCATGTTCGTGGAACTGCATCAGCGACATGTCACAAGGCTTCTGACAGGTCACCTCCTGAAACAACAGCAGAACCATATCGGCTGCTTCAGCAGCATCCTCGAAGGTCAGGCTCTTGCTCTTGAGCAGTGCCTTGTCCACCTTCATGATTTCAAGATGTTTTACATCTTAAATACTAGTTTTTCAGACTCTGAAAGACGACACATTCCCACCTGGTCGTGAATGAAGGAGCGGATCTGGGGCCATCCTGGAACGGCACAACTGCACTGCCGGCGCATTGTCGGATACTCAGGCATGTCTCTCCTCCGTAAATGCGGGAGATGGTGTTGACTTCCTCCAAAGCCTTGGGCAGCGTCAGTGCCTCGGCCAGCGGCGATGTGAATTCCATCATCTGAAAATTATGCTTCCTTATCGTGGTATCGTGGTTCGACCAGTCGCTAACCACGGCTGCAGCATACATGTCCCAAGAGGTGATCGGGCTGAAGGGTCTACGAGATCACTGACAGATCTGGATTCCCAACCTCCCCGAAAGCGCCCAAAGACACAAAAAACAAAAGTCAAACTCGGGAAGGTCCCCGAAACCTGCGAGGTCTCGAGGCCTTGCCAGACGAAGGTCTTACGGTGGTTGCAAATTGACCTTTGCAAGGCACGAAACTGAAACCGGTCCACATCTGCCGAGCGACGTATCCGCTGTCCACCTTCTGGCTGACATAGACATAATGCGCCATGAAGACCTGAGCGGTGAGCTCTTGGAGGCAGCCTTCGCTAAAGCTCACGATCTCCGGCCTGCAGAACGCTGAGGAGTCCTCCAAAGAAGGGGAGCCGAGACTGCCATGAGTAAACATCGCTACCGAGCCGGTGTAGCAAGCCGAACTGCACTCTTCCCCCTCGAGTCCTTCGCCGGTGGTCGTGCCCTCTGGCTGGAGCTCGTGCACGAGCCATGCTTGCTTCAAGCGTTCCCGCTGGTCTCCATGGATCAGGTGCTCCTCGGAGAATCTGCTTCTTCTGGCTGTACTAAAGCACCCCTGCTGCATAGGCAAGGTGCCAAAGTCGCAACGAACACGGCCAGCATGCGCAGATCGAGTCCCTGCTCACCCGCTTTGTTCTCCATGACCTCGTGACACGGGCAGAATGTGGCATGGAGCTGTGGTCTCGAACTTAGGTTGCCTTTGGCTTCCCGTCGCCTGTTCCTCTCCTCCTCCACGGGAGGAGGCATTGCAATAGTGAGCAGTGCCATGAGCCAGAGGTTATGCAAACAATGTGTCGATCACGCAGGTTACTGTTGAAACTCAAGCAACGGTCCCCCAAAAACAGTAGGGGACTGCTGCGCTCCTTTTACTGAAACTGAACCACTGAATAGAAGGACCCCAAACCAGCCGAAAGCAACGTGTTCTCAAACTTGCTCTGCCCACCTCTCTCCGCAAACCTTCCTAAACTCTCCTAAAATCCAGCGCTGGCACCTCCAGGAGATGTCCGGCGACACGGCCACGGAGAGCTTCCTTACGACAAAGGAAGGGGTTCGGGTCTTTCGCACCATCTCATCAAACCATCGCGCACTTCTTTTTTGGCTCCTCCACTTCTAAGCCGCGCTGGCTCGTTTTGATTGGAACTGGCATCTTGCCCTCACGACCGGTTGCCGGACCTGATGTCCACATAGACAGAGAAGCGATATGGTGAAGTCGGATATTTCAGATCCAAATCCTCAGCGTTTCAATCAACATGTGAGTTTAGCCGTTCAGCCTGGCTTCCACTGCTTGCGTTCGGCAGCAAATCATTTCACAACACATTGACAAGAATGCTGCGTGCCTCCGGGGATCCGTGTGATCCTTGATGTCTGCAGTCACACCGTGTTCTGCTGCAACCCTATGAAACAAATCTTTTGATACATAGAGGTGTGGAGGTGAAGATCTGGATACATGGCGCTGCTGCGAGGTAGAGTTCACATGGCTTGATGCCCGCAAGTGCTCGGCCAGCTGTTTTTTGGATAAATCTGACACTTCCCCCACATAAACGAAATCCTGGGCGATCCTTAACATCTCACTAAAAAGTAACGCGACAGCTTCTTCCGAATCCAGGTAGGTGATCACCCCAAAGGAGACGACGCAGGCGAAAGACCGGGGCTTGAAAAGCATCTTCAGATCTGAAACTCCTGCGACGACGAATGTCCCGTTCACGCGTTGGCGGGCAATTGCGATTGTGTCAGCGGCGGGATCGACTCCATAGACCTAACAGCAGCTCCCTAAACGCCCCCAATGCAGACCTCCGTGTATCTTACGTTTCTCAGATTTCCATTGTTTCTTACTCCAGTATTTATAAGGCTGAAAAGCCCAGAGTCGACCGTGTCAGGATTCTCGTCTGTGAAGGCTCTGATGGCAGCAACGAAAGCTCCTGCACCCACGCCGACTTCAAGCACGCTGCGACGCAAGGAGGGACGCAGCGGCTCCAGCAACACCTGGGCTTGTGCCAGCCACTGCTCCCAAGTGAACATCTCGTAGCCACCGAAATGATGTAGTGGAGCGTTAGCCGCGCTCAGCTGGCGCGCCTTCTTGTTGTAAATTTCAACCCAGGAGGTAGACGCTCCAGCCTTTGTAAGCTCTCTGTGTATGGCCTTGCCTATGTCGAACTGATAAAGCCAGATGCCGTCAGCCCGAATCGACCCCCAACCTCGCACTTCCCCACCAATATCCGCATTGAGAGCAATCCCACTCCCGAGGCCATAGGCATAGGTATGCTCCAGAATTCCAGCTTCGGTGACCAGTTGTCCTCTGCGTGTTGGGGATGAGGCGTAAGCCACTTCCACCTTAGCAAATCGGAGCACTCTGTAGGGACCTGTGTGATGCACGGCTAGGACGATTAAGAACGTGGGCCTTGCCGGAAAGAAACTCTCCTTACGAACAGTTCCTGGCACCCGGCCACCACTTCGGGGAAACATCAAAACAACCGAGCCGGGCCTGTT